ATGGTGACATTAAAAAAAAAAATTGGATCTAATGCCAAGAGGGAGAAAACTAGCAGTTTTTGGAGACCGAAACACACATACAAAAGAAAGTAGACCAGTTCCAAACCTTTGCTCCTAAGGCCACAAAGTGAATTTTGAGCTCCAAAAATAAGAGGGCTTACAACTTCATTTTTGTTTCACAGGAAGAAGATATTCTTAAACAAGGTTTGAGAAGGTCACAGTGGCACTGACCACTGATACACAAAAGCAGCTGCATCTTAAAACACTTTTGCCTTTGCTCTCCTAACCTCAACTCACATGACATAAAACTAAAGTCAACAGCGGGAATCAGGAAATAGACAATCTTCACAAAACAAACAAGCACATCCAGTCAGATTTTGGAGGCCCACAGAGGACATGTGAAGCTGCCACTCTGAAGGGAATACAAACTCAAAGGAGGAGATCTGTCTCCCTGTTCTCTTATGACTGCTCTCCTTGCACACTTCTTCCTATCCCTGAAATAGGAGTCAATTTTGAAAAGATGTAGGCAAAACCAAGCAGAGCCTCTACAAAAACACTTCTCTCCAACATCTTAAATGAAACCTAAAAATATGATACTTGACTAATGATACAAGAGACCTGTGAAACAAGGACAAGGCACATTTGCATCTCATCCACTTGTGGTGGTGTTCTACGTGTGGATAACCCGCTCTGCTACTCAGTCAGCTCAAAACAGCAGAGGTGTCACAATCCAATAGGACTGTCATGTGTATGCTTACGATATTCGCTTTTAATAATAAAACACTATCTTAGCCCCAGTACCCTGGTTAGGTATCACTCAAATAGATCTGCGTAACAAGAGCTGCTGGTCTTTGCAGCCTCTACCTCATCTCCCGAATGGCAATAGAAATAGTACATATAAGAAGGGTATAGATATAAAAGTCTGAAGAATCTTACAGTTAAGGCAAATAAGTGTTGCCTAGTGCCTCAGCCACCAAGTTCCTTTCATGCTAGGCAAAGTCACATATGTTCTTTCCCCTGGAAGTCACTCAACTTACACACCCTCAGGGTCTAAGTTGATATCCTGAGATCTGATCAACAAAAGTTTTAGCTGTTACAGCTGTGAATAGTTATCTGGCACTACACTGAAAAGATAAAGGATATAATAATCAGTGTTCTATGCCTGTGAATTTACATGAAGGTTTGAAGATAATGAGTTGTTTGGGGGCTTTTCATTTCTGTTTGTAAATGAAGCTCTACAGTAGACACTAACAGAAAAACCCACCTCCGCAGCATCGAACACAGTTAAAACAGTTGATTTTTACAGTTAAGTTTTAATTTGCAACCTCTATACAAACTACTCAATTCTATGGAAAAATTGTTTCTCACTTAACTTAAATCCATACTATAAAAATTTAACATCCAATCCAAGCACAAAATTGTTGAGGTACTACATTGAAAAACCACTGTGTGGCTTGAACCTACCTTTCTGCAATAATTTGACCTCTCCGTTTTCTTTCTTGATTTCATTCATTATTTTGTGCTTCTTCTTCTCTTTTTGCTTCTTATCCCTTTCTTTAATTTTGTCTTTGATTTGAGCTGAAATGCAAATATTTTACAATTAAGTGGGAACAGAAGACTTGAACTGTAATTGTCCCATGCACGTTTCATATTACTGTTATGCAAGCCCTGTTAAGGGGATAAGAGGAGTTATGAGGAAATCCCAGGACTCACAGTATGAAAAGCTAATATTTATCCGTTGCATAATCCAACATAAGCTTATTGAACTCAGACAAGTTTTGTTTCTATTATGCTAGAACTCCATGCAACAACTCAACATTAACTGTATACAGTTAGTAGCAGAGCAATTTTTTCTTACTCAGTGATACTACTCTCTATTCTTATTTTCCACCTGTAAGCAGCTCTCATTTCTTGAAATTCAAATTAAATGCATTAGATAAGAAATGAGGAAAAAAAAAACAGGCAACAGTCAGGGTTTGAATTTTCTTGGATATATATAGACACTAAAAATTGTACATAGCTATATTCACCTATTCTAAACTTGAATGTGCTTGTTATCACTGCCGAGTAATTTGAAATGAACACTTCAGCCAAATCTGTCATCCACAAGATCATTTACATTAAGTTTACAGGTTACACTAGTGCATTAACAACAGTAAGATATAATTAGATATAAGATATAATTAGAGTTAAACATGAAATGGCAAGGGAAGCACATTTAGCATTTGTTGAAAATCTGCATTTGTACAGCAGATAAACACACTGGCATCTCCTTTGCTTACCCACAACAGTCTACCTGAGCATTCTCATTATTCATGTACTTTTTGACAAGTCACTCCAACTTTTTACCATTATCATTCAAAAGCACAGCCTTTGGGCATGGTTTTCCACCTGAAACTATTAGACCTACAGGAATTCATATTTTCAAGGACTAACCTTTTCAAGACAAGTGCAGTTTTGAGTCCATGCATTTAAGCTTGCTTAAAACTAACCTCTCTAGATTCCCTGCAACCATCACTTCACGTACGGTCTCTCGGTCTGAAACCGCATCCCTGCTCAAAGAGTTTATTGGGCTTTTTAACCTCCACAAGGATGGACGAAATCTGATTTCCAGTTTTTACATAATGTTACTTTTCAGAATGCTTTCTTAGTAATACAACTGACAGACAATCTTGATGTTTAATTTAAGGTACTTTCATTGTAAACCCCAGAAGGAAGTAAGGAGAAATCTAACCATCTCTCCCCAAGCATTCACCTAAAATACATGCAGCAGACATCCTCACTACCGACAGATCAGAAATATTCATCAAAACCAGAAGGACCCCTTCAGATCTAGGAGGTAACATATGGTACCCCATAACCAAATTATTTACAAAGCGTGTTAATAGTTATTTAAGAGGTGCAGGGGGCTAACAGAAATCCACATAAACGAATATTCTAACAATGCTTCCACAGCACCCATATCTGTCCTTCCAGGAGTTTTCCAATAAGGCCACACAACCTGAGCCCTAGCAATTGTTTAGATGAAGAACATGTTTTGGGAAGAAGCTGGAAAAGCCTAAAAAAAAGAAAATAAGAACAGAAGAGATAGTAACTGAGGCATGACTGGTGGCTACACACAGATCAGGATAAGCAACAGAGAGAGGATAGAAACTACACTGGCACAAAGATTATTAGGAATAAACTGGCTATGATTAAAACTGTCTGGAAATCTTTGCTTCAAGCAACTGACACAGTCATGCTCAGGAACAGCCTAACAGTTCAAGAGAAGGGATGAGGAAGCACATGTGTTTGTGTAGAAGACAGAAAAGTCCACCTGGATTGTCCAAAGCCACAAACTCTTGCTATAGACAGGAATTTTCCTCTCCATCCTGCTCCTCCCTGCCTGCCCCCTCCCCTTTTGTTTTGTTATCCAAATAAACAAAACGCTCATTTTGTAAACCCCTTGCAACTTAAAAGCAGAGAACAGGAAATAAATTATACAACAGGAGTTTTACATTCTGAAAGCAGAGAGTCACTGACCAAGCAGCCAGTAACATGAGGCTTGATTTGTAATTGGCAACGAATGTTCAGTCCAACTAAGATCATTATAATCATGGGAAGACTTAGATTTTATCTCAGTATTTGCATACTGTTAAGAGGCACACTTGACTTCTGCTATTACTTAGGATTCAAAGAAAGCCTGAAGAGCATACACAACCGCGAAGCCTTGTTGAGGGAGGATAAGAGAAAGACTGAAAGAATCCCTTTATTATAGTCTCATGAATGGTATCACAGACCAATGAATCTTACAAATTTGTCAGAAACACAAGGAAAGAGAGAAAAAGCTGAAACCTTATAAAGAGCCTCTGGTTTATTTTCTCACCATTACCTCTAATTCCTCTCTAGATGTGATGTTCCAGACAAATGAAACAATGGAAGTGTCCCATAACCTGCTCTGGGAACATATTCAAGCTAATCGAAACTACCTGCAAGTGACTGTGAATGTAATGTGAAGGCAGCTGAGGAAGGTTCAACAAAAAAAAAAATTCAATTTAAGTACTGCCCCTCTAGAAATCACAGTACTACAAATTAGACCAAACTACAGTCGGAAGCAAGTCAAAAATAGTTAAGAACCCCAGTTAAAATGTACAAATTCTCAGGTTTCTTTCTCTAAAGAAAACAGATATAAGCAAGAGATGACAGAATTCTAAAACAAAAAAAGAAAACAAAAAACCACACCCACAAACACAGCCCACCCACACCACAGTTTAAATTTTAAAAAGTTTATGTTGAGATGAGACTCTAAATCATTGTATGACTTCACATTTGGTCTTATTTTTCAGTCCTAATGTGTTCAGTTTACAAGTAAAAATATGTATTTTCTAGTCTGGCCAGCAGAACTCAAGCAGATACCCCAAACAAAAAGCGTAGATTATTTCCTCAGTAGTAGATTTCAGTTTCGCAACTGTCGATGGGATCCAGAGGTAAAACTGATCCAAATTTTAGTAAATCTGAGATTACCACAAAATTTACTGCAACTTAGCTATGCTGGCTCTCCAAAGTCAGTAAGTTTAAAAGTTCCAGTAGTCATTAAAGTCAATGAACACAATGAAAACATGCATACGGCACAGAGATTTGCAAGGAAAGGCAAGCACAGCTCTCCAAATAAAGTTTCCATGCATTTGCATGTATCTCCATGTATTTTACATATGCTGCCACCATACGTTCCTACCACATGAACCTGATACAGTTTAACCCAGGCCAGAACTCTTTGGAACTCTCCAAATGCCACTGAACAATACCTTCTATAGCTTCTTCTCCAATATAAAACATCAGTTTCCTCCAGCTGTGTACCGGTTCAATCAAAAATCTCACTTTTTCAATCAAGAAATAAGAAAGTTCTTCACATTAACAAAAATCCTGTTTTAAAATGAATGCATCCAAAAAAGAAGACAAACCCTGTACTGTTTGACAAGTTAGTAAGTTGAACATTGTATAGCACTTTTGAGATTCACCAGTAACAGCTACTACTGATACCAAACCTCAGATCTCTGTTTCATCTGCAGGGTAACTACATCTCAAGGTCGTAAAAGGTAGAGATGTTTATATGAATCTTTCCCTGTCCACAGCCTGTTCTGCAATTAGCGCTCACCAAGATTACTTCTCGGAAACAGGAAAGGGAGGTAAAAAATAAAAAAAAAATAAAAGCCTGAGTTGCAGTAGATAATAGGGTGAAATGAGTCCCCAAGGTAATAGCGTAACATGACACAAATGGTCATAGTGATTCAGGACAGGAGAACATCAAGTAGGAACAACTATTACCTCTGTATCTGATGCCATTACAACTTCCACTGCAATAGTTTATGTTCACAATGAACAACTGGATATTTAGAAAATCAATACGCAAATCAGAGATTTGTAAGAAGTTTCATATGCTAATAAGGAAAAAAAGTTTAGCTCAAAGTGAGGTGAAGAAGTAATTTGACTCAAATAGGGAATGTAAATATTATTAAAGAGGTCCTCGTTCTAAAAATATAAATAGATGTACCAACGATTGGAAGCTTCAGTCTGACATCCACAGTCCATAAATGATCAGATTACACCTTTTTTTTTTTTTAAACAAAGGCAGAAGCTAGTCACTGGAATAACAAATAGTTGCAGCCCATTACTGGAACTTTTTTCACAAGTGTGGTGTTTTGGTTTTTTTTTTTAAGGAAGACACTGTAGCCCAAAGGAAAGGTTAATTCAAAGAAGTAATCAGTATAGCCTGTATAATGCAGGAAGTCACATGAAGGACTAAGATAACTTTTGAAGGGGTTATCAAAGTTGCAAGTTACTTTTAAATGAAGCCACCTAAATGTATTTACATTTTAATAACTATTTTCCCATTTTACTTGATATTAAAAAAAGTAAGCATTCCAGCAATAAACTTCAGTTTTATTTAAACCGAGTTATTTGCTATCTCCACCCCTTGCCAGAACAACCCTGGTAAAAAGGATCAAAAGATTAAGTCAGATATTGAATATGAGGATATAGTTTTGTGTAATATTTCACCTGATTTTTCTTTTAAATCAAAGGATCCTGCTTTGCCTCCTTTGAAATTAGATAAAACATCAAATTTTAAGTGTTAGCATTCCAATATCTGGGGGGGGGGGGG